GGAAAGAGCACACGAGCGTGAAATAATGTGAATTTGAAATTTGTATGTCCAAACTATGATGGATGGAGCGATGAATTGCTATTGCAAAGTAAAATAAATGAATAAAAAAATTATGATGACTTATTATTTCTATCATAATATTTGTATTATATTTTATTATGCATTTGTTTGTTTAAAGATTTTTTTGTTCTCATTATGGGGTTTAAACTATCATCATCTTTATCGCCATGATTAACATCCTTAATCATCTTCATCATCGTCATCATCTTCTTCATCATCATCATCAACAACAACAACTTCATCATCCCATCAATAACCTTCCAGCTTAAACCTATTGGCAGTCTAACCTTCTGTTTATGAGAGCATGAAGAGTACGTACGAACACACGCACACATACATACACACACACACACATACATACATCTAAACACACATACATACACACACACACATACATAGGTTTGAGTGTTTGTATGGGTATGCGATGGAACTGTGTGTGTGTGTATAGAGGTTTAAGCGTGTATGTCTGTTTGTACGTGTATGTTTATTCACGTGCGTGTGTGTGCGCCTGCTTGTGTGTGTATGTGTGTTCATTGTATAATTTTTATATTTGTAATGACAGAATTTTTGGGGTAAGCTTTTTTGCAGGAAAAAAAAGAAAATTATATACTCGTAAAAATTAATTTAGCGATAGGATATGACACTAAACATTTTTGTTTTTGAAGGTTACAAAATGTTTTTGAAAAATTGTTCATAGAGGAAAAATAATAAAGAGGTACTAGAATGTAACAAAAATTCAAAAGGTACTAAGAGATACCAAATACAAAGGTACCAAAAAATACAGAGAGCGAGCAGGAAAATTGTTGCAAAAAGTTACTGTTGATTCTAGTTCATTATGTCGTTCGTTAGAGGTTTTATAGAGGTGCTAGCAGTAATGAAATGTCTGCGAATTATTTCTTTTATTGTTTCTCTGATGTCATTGTTTTTATGTTTAGGTTTTTATGTCTATGTTTGTCTGTGCTTGCTGTTTATGTTTGATGTCTATGTTTTTGTTTGTTTTCCATGTTTATGTTTGTTGTTTATGTTTGTTGTCGATGTTGTTGTCTATGTTGTCAATGCTTTGTCGTCGATATTTGTCTATGTTGTTGTTGTCTATGTTGTTGTTGATTATGATGTTAGTATTTTATTTGTAAAATTTGTTTATTTTATAATGCAAAAAGAATGCAGTGCCTTTGGAGCAATTTTAGGAGGCAATTCTAACTTTATTATTATTGTTATTTTACTTTTTTATTATTTTATTATTATTTCAATTATAGTCAATTTCCATTTTTATTATTATTTTTATTATTTTCGCCCCCAACCTTTTCGCGTCATTTACGTAGCGCCTTTGAATTTAAAATGTTTTACTAGGTGGTGATGGCCAAGTTTATAGACTCGAATGTTCTATTTATTGTTATTCATTAGCTGTCTGCTCACTATATAGGGAATTGTTGTCTTGCTATGTCGTTGTTTAGAATTTCATTTTTAAATAAATTAATTTTTTTTATTATTCTTTGGTTTATTATTATTATAATTATAATTATTATTATTACTGTCATTATTGGTGTTGGTGTTATTAATAATAAGAATAATAAACCGGAAGAGGAAGAAGATGGTGAAGATGAAGTAAAAAGTGAACTTATATTCGAAATTGTATCTTAATTATAGTTTATATTCTCTTCGTTATATTAACACCAACAACATCGCTTTACGAAATGTTTGTTTTTATACTACAAAGGTTTTTGTTTGTTTATATTTATTGTTTTGTATTGTTTGTTTTACCTTGTATTGTATTACTTTGTATTGTTTTTGTATTTGTATGGTTCGTTGAAATTTTTAATAACTTACCTGTAGTTTTGTATCGTTTTGTTCTTATTCTTTTGTTGTCTGTTTGTATTCTTGTATTTTTGCTCGGGTTTTTGTAGTTATTTTCGCATTGTTTATATCATTTTGGTATCAAAGTTGGTATTTTATTTATTGCTTTATCTGTATCATTTGTTAGCATTTTGGTATCATTTGAAGCATTTTTTTGATATCATCGTTTGAATCTTTGATATCATTTGCAGGTATTTTTGGCATCATTGTTGGTATCTTCGTATCATTCGTGTTAATCTCGGTGCTGTTACAGGAACGGCCATTCCTGTAATTGATTTCTCTGCGTGACGAATTGAAAACAATTTGCATTATCGTTTTGAAATGCATACAGGGAAAAGAGCGTACACACACACACACATACATATATGCATACACACATACATACACACACACACACACACACACGTACATCTATAGATACGTACACGCAATAGATTAAACATGCATAGCATGCACGCATAATTGTATGTATATGTGCATTTTAACCATTTATTTATTTTTACTGGATTGTACTGTAATAAATTTCACACGTGTAACTTTATCTCTATTTTGTCTTTCATTTATTTCTCTTTTTTCTTGCTTCTTCTCTCTCACTCTCTGTTTCTCTCTTTTTCTTCTCACTCTCTCACTCTCTCTCTCTCTCACTCTCTTTTTTTCTCTTTTCATTCCAATTTTGCTTTTTTCAAATACTTCGTTGTCATCGTCATCATTATCATAATCGTCATCATCGTGGTCATCGTCACTATCATTACATCCATATTCATCATCATAAGCATTAACGCCTGGCTGAACATTGTGGTTATATAATTTAATTAAATGTCTTTTACTAGTTAGAGATTCTGTGTAGTGTACCTATCCGGCTTGCGTACGCACGTACATGTATTTTTAGATAGGTATTAGTGTACATGTGTATTTGTATACGTAGCTAGGTGTTTATACATGTATTAAGATGTTTTTTGTATCATTTGTATCAATACTTTATTATATACGCATATATCTATATATTCAGGCACGCACGTGTGCTTGTGTGTCTTTGTCTGTGTGTGTATGTATATCTGTTTGTGTGTGTGTGTGCGTGTGTGTGTGTGCGTGTGTGTGTGTGCGTGTGTGCGTGTGCGTGTGCGTGCTTCTAAGAAATTTCGTTTAGTATCCGTCTTCGTTGGAATCTTGTTCTATTTGACATTTATTGGCCTGTGATGACTATAACGATGATTAAATCGATCCAAATGATGACGATGACGACGATGATGATGATGTTGTTGAGAATGGTGGTGGGTGTGATGATGATGAGGGGGTGGATGGTGGTGGGTGTGATGATGTTGATGGTGATGATTACGTTGTCAGTTATGGTGATAACGATAACATAGCAATGAAGGGGATTGTGATAGTGATAAGTAGGAAAGATAAAAAAAACGTAAATAAACAGAGAGAGAAGGAGAGAGAGGGGAAGAGAGAGAGAGAAATATATAAACAAAGAGAAAGATAGAGAGAGATCGAGACAAACACACATACACACACATATATATGCAAATCCTTGCATTGACAATGTAATATCTAATTTAGGAAAGTTATAAGTTAGACGATAAATATTAATAATATGGCATAACCATTTCGTATTGTGTATGTATGTGTGTGTGTGTTTATGTGCGTGTATGCATGTATGTATGTGTATGTATGTATGTATGTATGTATGTATGTGTGTATGTATGTATGTATGTATGTATGTATGTATGTATGTATGTGTAAGTGTACTGTTATGTTTTATGTGGTGTGATTGATACAAGGCTCTTAATCTTCATCTTCTATATATGATGCAATGTATAATGCGCGCATTTTTATTCCAGCTACATTCATCGTAATTTTTATCCAATATGTATCTCTCTGATATATCGTGTATCAAACGTGTACCATTAGTGTATAGTAATGCTATTTGGGATATGTATCAAATTTATTTTATCAATATCTAGTGATTTTATCTGAAAGATATATTTCTGTATGTTTTTATTTAGATGTAGATGTTTAATTTTTTATTGGTTTGATTGTTTGATTGTTTGATTGTTTGTTTGTTTGTTTGTTTGTTTGTTCGTTTGTTCGTTCATAAACGATGATCAGATTACTTAAGAAATAGTCAGTCATGTCAAAACTGAGAAAAGTAATATGGAACATAAAACATTTCAAGGCATGAAATCATGTCAAACATTAATTCGCAATAGTTTAATATACCTACCTACTGTATATTTATATACTTTTATTCACTCATTCATTCTATCGTTCATTCATTCATTTATACGATCATTCATTTATTCATTTTTTTCCATTTATACACTTTTATTCACTCATTCATTCGATCGTTCTTCAGTTATTCATTTATAAGATCATTCATTCATTTATCCATTTATTTAAAATTTTGAATATTAAAAACACTTTTTGAAAGTTCGCGTGTCAACCATCTTATCAAATATTTATGTATACGTGTTTAACTATCTAACTGTCTGTCTGGTCTGTCTGTTTGTATTCATTGATGGATGCATGTATATATGCATATACAGTTCATATAGACCCCAACTTAGCTAAACGTAACGAAGAGCGACCAACTCAGCGCTAGGAAATGAATGGTCATACCAATGATTTATTTAGCACGAAATAAATAATACAGCTTTGAATACACGCTCGCATACGTCATTCATCATCAATCCTGCCATCATTATCATGGCTCCTGCCATCATCATCGTCGTCGTCGTCATCACTTCTACCATCAATATCATTACAGTTGACTTTCTCCATGTTGTCGTTGTCGTCATCTCTCATTGTTTGTCATCAGCAGTATCATGCATTCAGTACCGTCAGGGTTGTAGTTTTAACTGAGAGGATGTTTTTTATTTTTCAGATTTTTAAACAGAAAATCGAAATAGAAACAGAAAAAAAAGTGGAGACCGCCATTTACGATGCATCAACGACATCGTAAACATCATCATCAACCACTACCCATCCTCTTCCTTCTTCTCATCACCATCTCACCGGTTCTGTCGTCACCACAGTTTTCATCACCATCGTCGCAAGAAAATAACGAGCCACCGATTCTGAAGTATCGTGTCGAAGAAGAAGTGGCGGTTGGAACGTTCGTTGGTGACGTGTTGAAGGATAGCGGGCTGTTGCAAAAATACGAGCAGAAGACTCTCGCCTTGTTAGAATTCCTGGTCGTTCCCAGAGAAGTGCCTTACTTTAGTGTCGGAGAGACTGATGGGGTTGTCCGGACGAAGAACCGGATTGACAGGGATGCGGGTGTACCTGGCTGCAGGGAGAAATTATTATGCGAAATAAAAATTGACGTGGCCATTAAGCCGACAAGATATTTTGAAATTTTTCGATTGGTAATAGAAGTGATCGACGTTAACGATAATTCGCCATCTTTTAAACAGTCTAGTCATTATTTGTCTCTGGCAGAGTCAGTAGCGGTCGGTAGTCTGTATCCGTTACCGACGGCTTCCGATCCGGATAGTCCAGTACACGGAGTTCAACGCTACGCCCTGCAGAGATCTCCGGAGTCAGAAGATAGTGGGTCGGACTTCAAGCTGCATTTCGATCACAAGATGGACGGAACGACAGAGGTACGACTAATGGTCGCAAGGTCTCTTGATCGAGAAAGGACATCCAGTTATCGGTACTCACTTGTAGCCTGTGAGATGACCGTCAAGTCGCAGTGCGCCAACATGGAGGTCGTCATCATTATACAAGGTTTCAGTTTAAACGTTTCCCGTTTAGTTCGAGTTATTTTATATCAGTTTTTATTGTTAACAAGTGTGAAACACTCATAAATAAGTAAAAGTAATTTACGCCTCATATTTTTATTACAAATGAATATTTATAAACTGTATCCTCTTTTATTGCATTACTTAGATGTCAACGACAACAAACCGATATTCGAAAAATCCTTCTACTCGATCAGAGTTTTGGAATCGATTCCGACCGGTACAACGATTCTCACGTTTTTGGCTCTTGATCCAGACGAAGGGGCAAACGGCGAAGTTGAGTACACTCTGTCAAAAATGTCGAAAAATGTGTACGGCTCGAAGCTGGCTGTTGATCGAAAAAAAGGAACCCTATACGTCGTCGGATTTTTAGACCGAGAACACGTTCCAGTGTACCATCTCACCGTTGTGGCGAAAGATCGCGGAGCCGATAGTCTAAGCAGCGAAGTTTCAGCAACCGTCTACGTCGATGATGTTAACGATAATCCTCCGCTTATCACCGTTTCGACCGTCTCAGCAGACAGGCTTGAAGATGTGTTGAGAGATTTCAAGAATAGGAATGAGTTAGAGAAGCAAGTTCTTTCAAAAAATCGAAATCTTAACCTAAACTCGAACGTAATAAAACTTGAAGAAAATAGCTACCCGGGTACATTCCTGGCGCACATCACCGTTCAAGATCCAGATGACGGAAATAACGCTAAAACAACTTGCTCATTGAACGACCAATCACAATTAAGCATGGTGTCAACGTCGACCAATCAGAAGACATCTTCACAACAGTACCAACTTATTACATCTGGTACATTTGACGCCGAGGAAGTTTGGACAGAGAAGCACAACCCGATTGTAGCTGTTACGATTAGCTGCTCCGATCAACCGGATCTAGAATCCGACCGATTAACATCTAACGTTACTCTGTATTTTGTTGTTGCCGATGTCAATGATTGCACTCCAACATTTACAGATCTAACTAACAGAAATGATGATAAGAAGCAACACGCAGTTTCGGTTAATCGGCAAGAATTGTTGAAGCGAATTTTCGATGTGACCCGTAACGATGACAAAAATTTGGTCGATATTAGCAACATCACCGATGACAACAGTAAAGACGTTCGTTGGCTATTTCGAGTCAATGCAACAGACGCAGATGTTACATTTAATAACTCCAAGCTACTTTATCGCATAATACCGACAATGCCGTACATCTCCAACAAAACTAGCGACGAAAGCATGATAGAAATTAATCATTCCACGGGCGATGTGAGGCTCAGCGACCGATGTACACTCGATATGCTGGAAAAAATTAATTTTCAAACGTCGTCGATCCAAGTGAACGATAGTGGCAGCGCATCTCTGTCCAATTCGATCAAGTATTTAATAATATTCGATACACATTTGAACACGAGCCATAGGTATTCTGTTAATTTTTCAATGAAAGATTACAAATTCAATGTTTATGAAAATTATTTTGATACCGATATTGATGACAACAATATTATTGGTTCCGTGTCGGTTCATACCGATTGCGATACAAACAGTCATTGCGTAGCCTACCGACTAGTTGCCATCAATCAATCAGATTTTCTCCCGTTCAGCGTTAATCCCAAAAGCGGATTTATCAGACTTTTACAAGCGTTGGACCGAGAACATACCGACAAGTATTTATTCGAAATCGAAGCATCTGTAAATACAAACTCGATTTTTCTTCGAACCTTGAACTCGAATGCAATGCACCCTCTAATTAACGTTGATGAGAACAATCTGTTTTACAACCACTTTGTCAGTAAGCACAGCAGTAACAAAGACAATTTCCCAATGAAATCAAAAGTTCGAGTCACTGTGAACGTTTTGAACGTTAACGACAACAAACCGAAATTCACCGACATTTCCGAAACGGATACCGGAAATGGACCGACATTTTCAGCGGTTATTTATTCAACGTCCAGTATGCAAGCTGTTGTTATTTTCAGTAACATCACGCAGTACTATATTTTCCATCGAGTTCATGCAATCGACCGAGATACCGATAACATCCGATACGAAATATCGTCAAGATTTACCGAAATTGTTTCGACGCTCGGTATACTCAACGAGAATACTGACCATAATGATGTCAGTAGAAAGGGCTTCGAAGATGAGTTTGAAAATGTGACCGATTTCATAGAAGTTAATGGGACATCAGGTGAACTTTACATTGCAACTAACTTCACTGAAAAACTTCTTTTATACCTTAACGACCCGAAAAAATTCATCATCTCCGCAATTGATGACGGCACACCAACAATGAGATCCCACTTGGAAGTCGTTTTATCGTCCAATGCATCATCCGCTCGCTACAAACTCGATAGGTACATCACTGATTTTCAACTGAAGCACGGAACTGCTGGTAAGGGCGTTGAACATTATGTTAATTTATTTATTTGTTTATTTCTTATTGTTAGAGGTAGTGATAGTAGTAGTAGTGGTACTAGTAGTAGTGGTACTATTAGTGGTAGTAGCAGTAGTAATAACATATAATGTTGGTAGTAGTGGTAGTAATAGTAGTAGCAGCAGCAGCGGTAGTAGTATTTACTTGATGTATATTCATTTTTGATTTGTTTTTTAATGAGTTCATCTTTTCGTCAAATTAAACTTCAAGATCTGATTGTTTATTTGTATATTTTAAATAACTTGATGACCAATCATCGCCCAACGGCATACACATTCATCATAACAAATGAAATCCCGACAATCGAACCATCCACTTACGACGACAAAAACAACAATTTGACAGATGACGACGACGACAACAGGTTTCTGACAAAATCGCATCGTTCGGCGACCACAAAGAACCAGGAACATCGCACGCCTCAGCCCAAATCAACTTTTATATTCGGCTGGGGCATCTCAGAGTTGGCAACTGCATCTGGAGTGATGCTATTGGCTGTGGTCCTGGGGCTGCTAACAGCCACGTTTGCTGGCCTGAAAGTCTATTGGAGGTCCAGAAAGAGAGGGAAGAAGTTGAAGCAGGCTTTTCCGGTTCCTGCAAAGAAAAAAAATAAGAAGTGTGGCAGGATATATTGCTGTACGGGTTGTTGTTGTTGCTGCTGCTACTATTGTTGTTGTTGTTGTCGTTGTTGTTGTTGTTGTTGTTGATGTTGATGAATTAAATCTTTGCATGACGTATTGATTCGATAGTTTTCTGCCTGGATCATGTGATGTGACGCCTTAGCGTGAACTTCTTCAGTTTGCGACAAAACGAAAAAAGATATTTAAATTTTTAATCGATGACGTCATTGTAAATTTAAATTTTACATCCCCTTTCCTTTTCGTCATCGTTATTGATGTCGTTAAGTTTTTGAATTTGAAATTAGTTCGATATTCCGTCATCGTCAAACCTTCTGTTTCACGGACATTCTCGTCTCTTATGCAAAATTTTCTCCAAACAATTTATTTTCTTGTTATTATTATTATTATTATTTTATTTTTATTATTATCATTACTATTATTAACTTATCTTAACTCCAACAACGACAACAGGTTCTTCAAACAACAATCACCGCCACCACAACCACAACAACAGCAGCAACAACAACAACAGCATCAATAGTAGCAACGTAGATCTAAAGAACGAGGAAATATTAGCAATGGCTTTGTCACAAGTTGACGGTAGTTCTGTGGACTTGTCCATACATTCATGCCCGTTGGAGTACAACTCTCTCAACAATTACAACAACAACAACAACATCAACTTTAACAACAACAATAACATTAATGATAATAATAGCATCAGTGGTAACATTGATGTCAACGATAACTGTAGAACTTACAACTGTTGTAATAGCAGTAGCAACAATGTAGATTGCGTGGGATATTGCGGTACTATTCACGCTACTGTCAACAAAATCAACAACAACAACCACAACAATGACAACAACAACGATAGTAATAATAATAATAACAACAACAACAGTAACAGCATTAATAGCATTGAAAACAACAACAACAATTTCAAACTCTTTAACACGGTTGAACGCCGAAACTTCACCAGTAACTGTTTCACCAACAACGACAACATCTTCATCAGCAAAAGTAACAACAACATCAGTTGCAACAAAAACATTAGCAACAACATCATTTGCAACAACAACAGCAGCAACAACAACAACAACAGCAGCAGCAACAACGACTATACCAAACTACCATTTCAAATGAAACAAAACAGCCTAACGCAACGAAAACATATTAGATACCATCACCATCAACAATATCAACAACAACAACAACAACAACAACAACAACAACAACAACAATATCAACAACAATATCAACAACAACAACATACAACAACAACGGCGAGAAACCAGCAGACCATAGGTCTACAGGTGAATTCTTAACTTTGCATATACGAGTGCCTCTTCGTGTTCTTATCAATGTTTAATGCTTTCTCTCGAATCTTTCTGCTATTCTCATTGTTTGAAAGCGTCCTTGTAATAATAATAATAAAATAAATATAAAAAATTATTTTATAATAAAAATAGTAGTATTTAATAATAATATTAATAATAAAATTCGGCATTAAAAATGCGTCAGCTTAGATAAAATTTCACTTCAAAAACGTCAAAAAAAAAACTGCAATAATAATTCTACAAAAGTTAAGTTTGCAAAAAAATTTCTAGCAAAACCTCATTTTTTTGTGACACCTGACCTTTGAACTGGGACGACCTTGACCTGTAAACCTCTGTAACCTTTAGAACATGCATTAGCAGATTGTGTTTGCACCATTTATTCCACAGATGACCTGATATTTCGATTGCTGCGTTAGCTTACCTATGTATATGTGTGTGTGTGTGTGTGTGTGTGTATGTGTATGTGTGTACGTGAGTATGTGTGTGTATGCGTGAGTATGTTTATTTACTTGTATATATGTATGCGTGAGTGTATGTATTTACGTTATAGGTATATTTATACATATACTTATACAAACAGACACATTCGTACACACAACATACATAAAGGGATATTTACATCCATATAGACACAAGCTCACAAACAAACATACAAACATACAAACACACATACAAACTTGCATAAATACATTCATACTCTACCTTCATGAACAAAATGCAAATTTGGAACATTTTAAAAAGGAAATTACTGATGTTTATGGCTAGTAATGATAATGAGGAGAAGGAGGATGCTGATGATGATGATGCTGACATACTGACGATGATGATGATGATGATGACATGCTGGGGATGATGATGATGACGATTTTGTTTCTAATGACTAGACGTGTAGTGGCTGGCTCATTATTATCAACAACTTTTCATTGCTTGTCGTCGAATCATTGTTACGTTAATAGCCGGATGTGTGTGCGTGCGTGTGTGTATATGCGGGTGTGTGTGTGTGCGTGTGTGTATGTGTATGCGTGTGTGTGTGCCTGCGTTCGTGTGTCCATGTGTGTGTGTGTATGTGTGTTTCTTTTTAGATTTTGATGTGATCAACTCGTGCAAGCAAATGCAAAGAAACATAGCGTCCGCATTGAGAGATTGAGTTAATTTGAGATGATATGTTTCCATTTTCCTGTCTCTTGCATTGAAACTTCGTCGTTATGCCATTTCAAAATAATAATTAAATTTTTTTTACTTGTTTTTTTTTTGTTGCTTGCTGGTTTGTATAAACTGTGTGTGTGTGTGTGTTTTTTGTGTACATTTTATTGTTTGTATGTTTGTTTTGTGGTGTTGCATTAGGTGTGTGTGCGTATGTGTGTGTGTGTGTGTGCATGCTCGCGCGCGTGTGTGTCCTTTACTGTATTCATGTTTCAACAGAAATTCGATATTTAAATATGTTTTTGGAAAGTCGAATTTATTTGAATTTGAGAGACTTTATTTCAAGAATTACATTCGAAATTTGGAAAGGAAAAGAAAAATAAATCATGATAATTACGTCTCTTGATGTTTTTACCCTATAAAAGGAATTAATTCCATCTCTTAAAAGCTCTTCTTTCATTTTCTAGGTGCAAAATTTATAAAAAATATTTTTTCGTTTTGTTTCAGTTAAAAAAGAGATTCATATAAATTCAGAATAATATTTTATAGGTATATAACACTATTTCACCAATATTAATATCCATTTTGTCGTTATCAGTATATATTTTGTCGCTATTCGTATTCGAACCCGGGATCGACGAGTCATTAGTTGAGACTCCGCAAAGGTCTAGATATATACTTGACCGAAATATTTAATGATGTAAAGAGTAAAATTTGTTTAGGCGGAAATGTGATGATGACGTCATTATTATGATTTCGTATTTCAACACTTCTTTTTTCAATTTTCGACGCGTGTCTCCTTGACTGTGTAATTAATTTTTACTTTTTTTTTTGTTCTAGGAGATTGTTGTCGAAAATTTGAACAACAACAACAAAAACATACCACAAATGAGATACAGCGCTACTACCACAAATACTACCGCCGCCACTACAACTACTGCCGCTACTACTTTTACTACAGCCACTACTGCTAAAGTTATCTCTAGTATGGCAATAAGTCATACTCCGACGATGACAATTACTTCTCCTGTTAGTAATTTTACCATCAGCAATGCTAACACTATATCTCCTTGTGTAGTATCCAACGCTAGCAATCTTAGTAATTGTTGCAAAACTTTTCCAAATGTTGAAAAAAATCAACAACAAATCGTCAACGTCATCAACAGAAACAGTTTGTACGCTGGCTACAGCCCTGTGAATGTATGCATGTTGTCGCCGACGCAACAACAACCACAACAACTACTACTACATTCACAGCAGCAGCCGCTGAAGCAGCAACAGCATCAGCTGCAACAACTAAATCATCACTACCCTACGACTATTGTCGCACAAAATTATCATCAACAACAATATTTACAACAGCAACAACAACAACATCTGCAACAACAACAACATCTGCAACAACCTCAACAACAACCACCACATCTGCAACAACCTCAACAAAAACCACCACAACAACAACAGCAGCAGCAACCACAAAACTCATTCTCAACATTTCACGGAAACATGCCTCAGAGAGTACAAAGGAGAACATTGAATAATAATAATAACAACGCCTTCCTTCAAGTTTAAAACCAATTTGATTTATTCAATATTTTTTATTTTTAAAATATTTAAAACTATTTTCTACTAATATACTAATACAGATCAATTATGTAAAAAATATTTTAATTATCTCTCACAAACTAAACTAGCCAATCTTAATTCCCGCTCACAAACTAACCTAGCCAATCAATAACTCAGCCAAACCAGGTCAACCAATCACAAGAAGGAACAAATACGGACAGTGGAAGGGGCCTGAGCGACGACGACCAATCAGAATTCCACACGTCATCTCAACTTCACGTCATTCATAGAAAAAGAGCTAGTCAGAAACACGTGACTATTGTCGAGCGAGACGATCACAAATTTACTAATAACTCTGTGGGCGCCATTAATAATAATAATATTAATAGTAATAGTAATAAAAATGGATGCTTCAAAATTTCCTCAAATCGTGAAACGTTAATAAAATGATTATTATGATTATTACGATGATTGTTATTTAATGATAATATTAATAATAATAATGTGTTATTATTGTTATTATTATTACTGAATTTATTATTAACCTTATTATTGTTCTTATTGTTACCTCGAAGTTTATTCCCGTTTGGATGTTATAACACGAGTCACAATTAATTATTAATTGTATTAATTGGTCACTGAACCAAATTTTCTCTCTCTCTCTCTCTCTCTCTCTCTCTCTCTCTCTCTCTCTCTCTTGTTCTTTCTCTCGCTCATTTTCTCATTCTTTTCCTCTCTTTTTTCTTTTCTTACTTTCTTCGTTTTTTTCGTTTTTTCTGTCTTTGTCTTTCTCTCAATCTATCTGTCCTACCTTTTTACTTTATCTATAATCATTTCTCCCTCTCTCTCTCTCTCTTCTCTCTCTATTTTTCTATCTATCAATCTATCTGTCTGTCTGTCTGTATGCCTGCCTGCCTGCCTGTCTATCTATCTATCTATCTATCTATCTATCTATCTATCTATCTATCTATCTATCTATCTATCTATCTATCTATCTATCTATCTATCTATCTATCTATCTATCTATCTATCTATCTATCTATCTATCTATCTATCTATCTATCTATCTATCTATCTATCTATCTATCTATCTATCTATCTATCTATCTATCTATCTATCTATCTATCTATCTATCAATCTATCTATCTATCTATCTATCTATCTATCTATCTATCTATCTATCTATCTATCTATCTATCTATCTATCTATCTATCTATTTCTTTCTCCCTTTTCTCTCTTTCTCTTTCTTTCTATCTATCTATCTTTCCCTCTATTTCTCCATCTATATTTTTTTTATTTTATAAAATTATTTGTTTGTTGTGTTTGTTGCATGAATTGTATGAAAATTTTAATTTGTATATAAAGTTGTCCCATCACGTTGCTTAAACATCTTTCAATTATTTCTATTTTGACCATTTTTGATTTGGCATATTCCTTTGGAAAAAAAAGAGCATTTGTAACTAATTACTGTTATTAACTCGAGACAAAATATTTTTTTAAATTTATTTAAAATTGAAAACGAAAAAAAAAATAATTCCGATTATGACAAATGATGATATTATGAAATTTTTCACTGAAAAACGTTTAAAAATGGCCGAATTGATTTGAATTTTAAATAAAATTGTTATTAAAATGCGATCTTTTCGTCTGTGGTTTTTAAATTGTAAGTAGCTCTTAAATTACAATTTTTAAAAAATAATTTAAATAAATCGTAAATAGATCCAAAGGTTATTTCATTCGGCCTAGATGGTTGAAATTAATACTAATAATAAAAATTATTATTATTATGATGCTAACGTAATTCTTTTAAAATTAGCGGATGTTAAACTGAAGATAATTGAAAAATTTTTACGTTATTTACAGCATCAATTTAAGTCAATTTGACTTTGAGCTAACTTTCAATATTTGCCCAGATGCCTATATATATTCGAAAGCTAAATAAACACTCCTTAATGTCTAACGTTAGCATAATAAATAACAATAATCATTATTAATATTATTAATTATTATTATTAATTATTATTAAAACTGAAATTTTTTAGAGAATAATTTTTTTTTGCAAATAACAAAAGTTCAATCACTCTAGATCTGGGGTGAGCAAACTACGGCCAGAGAAGCTATTTTATGCGGCCCGCGAGGCCCTGTTCGCCAAAAAATAGGTCGTCAGCCAGACATTATGACCAAAAAAGGAGCCATATATCTTAAAAAAATTTTTCCCAGGGTCGAAAAATTTGCTATTCAATACATATGCGACCCTTCAAAGGTAAAATAGTTCTTAATGCGGCCCTCACAGCCAAAAGTTTTCCCACCCCTGCTCTACATGTATTGATCGATTTAAAATACTTGTTATTATTGTTTATTATTATTCATTATTATTATTATAATTAAAACAATGAAGGAAAATTAATGTTTTAAGAGTTGAAATTCATTCAGTGACGACAATTTCAAGTGGTTTTTTCAAAAGGTTATCCAAATAATGTGATCAGAATTATTATTTTTATTCTTATATGTTATTATTGTTACTGTTATTGCTATTATTTCACTTTTATATTATTATTATATCATTTTTTATTGAAATATGATACCGTTTGAAGATTCAGTAGATCAAAAATCCTTGTTTGCAGCTCATACGCACACACACACACACACACACACACACACACACACACACACACACACACACACACCACACATATATATATATATATATATATATATATATATATATATATATATATATACATATACATATATGCAACACTGTGTAACTGTGTATATCCAAAACTACTATTATAAAAACGCATTGAAGCAAAATTAAAAGCATTGTGTGTGTGTTCATCTTAAAACATGACGGCCGAGTTTTCAATGTTAATTTTTGGTTGTTTCGTCATACTGGGGCTTTATGTGGCAACAAGTAAGCATAATGTCAAAGTTGGTCTGAGTCGGAGATTTTTCAATCAATCACGACACCCTGCCAGTAAAATAAGGACATTCTGATTGGCTGCTTGTGTGTTCGGTGTTTGGTAGAATTAATGTGATTGAATGGTTTGGTATTCAAAAAGTTGGGTAGTATTGATATGATTGGTTGATACTCGAGTAAAATATAACGGCTGGTTGTTTCTGTATTCAATGTTTTGTAGAAATCATGTGATTGGTTGATTTTGGTGGATGAATTATGGTAGAAATTATTAGATTGGCTATCGTAAATTTCATAATCCTTACAGGTTCCAATGTAACAGACACTGAACTAAGATCGATCTCATCCGAAATATGGAAGTCTGACAACAACAGTCTTACAGAAAATGATGTTAAGTTAAACATAAATGGTACCAAGTAAGTAATATCCGTAAATTATTAAATGTTTTTGAAAGGTATCTTAAATAGTCATCTTTTCAAAAAAAACTTTCATACCGAATGAATTTGAACTTAATGAATGAATGAATGAATGAACGAATTGATGAATGAATCAATAAATGAATCAATGATTCAATGAATGAATTAATGAATAGAATGAACAAAAGAATGAATGAATGAATAAATGTACGAATGAACGAATCAATGAATGAACGAACGAACAAACGAACGAATGATTGAATGAATGAAAGAACTATTTCCAACAATCGTGATGTTTATATGGATGGATTAATGTTTAATTGAAATAATACTGATGACGTTTTAATAGAGAAGACATATCAATGGATGGATGGATGGTTAAATGGAATGACATGTTGTCCGTATTATCATTACTTATAATAAAATACGTTATTAGGATATTAGGTAATCTAAAATCTACAGCAAATATAATATGAGTGATTTACATAAAATATATATATATATATATATATATATATATATATATATATATATATATATAACTTCATTATTCATGAAAAATTTTCAAACTTATACAATACAATACAAACGTCAATAAATATCGATCCTGTCAAGTTCTCCAACATAACGAACTATGCAAGTAAAGGTAGTGTTAGTATAGAATAAAAAAAAAAAAAAAAAACAAAAAACAAGACTTATGCATAAGAATGTTAACAAGATATCATTAGCTAACTTTCAAAAAACATCTCTGATGTACTCTTTAGAATAAATAACATTATCAATATATGCATTATAACGGCCAGATGTATATATATATATCGCTGACATGATAGCGTCTTAAATGTAAGGTCAATCTATGTAAACGCATTTCATTGAGATTATAGTTTGAAAATGTAAAGATTGATTAGCGAGAAAAATTAAGCTTTGATGTGCACTTTTATAGGCTATTCACATACGTGAACGAAAAAAAACTTGTTGGTTCGTATCGACTACTGGACAAACTATTCGACAATTACATCGCGAAAACTGGTGTAGCGGAGAAGAACGAGACTGGAGAGTATGACGAGGTGGAGCAGTTCTTGAATGCTACCCTAGCCACGAAGCCCATGAAAATTATGCACCAGTTCCTATCCAAAAAAGGTTTCCAGTTGAAGTTTAAACATAATCTACCTATTTTACAGGAGTAATTATAGCATTAAAAACTGTACATAACACATTCACACACGCACTCAAGTATCTACAATCACATACACGTAGACAAACAGGCATACACACGCACACACACACTGAAATACACACATATACACAAGTGTTTACACCACATAGAAGTATAATAAACAAACGAACGCACTCACACGCAGATTTAGCATCAGCCGACATCCAATCATTCAAGAAACAACTACGTCAGTTCTGGTTCACCGAGTATTCAAGATCGGGTGGTGTTAAGGATAGCAGTGGTTTCGAACACGTGTTCCTGGGAGAGACGAAGAAAGGTGAGGTCATCGGCTTTCACAACTGGCTGTTTGCTTACAAGCAGGAGAAGTTGGGCATCTTTCGTTATGAAAGTCTTATCAGGACTTGCCCGGTTCGTGTATGTGGTGTGTTGGAGTGTACGTGCGTGTTGGAGTGAGAGTGTAGCTGGGTGATTTTTTATAGCTAATTTGATTTTAAACACTAAAACTAATACATCCGATAGTAGGTGAATTAACAAATGTACAGCACTTCTCTTACACACATATACTCATTACAAAATCGACAACAAGCAAGCGAACAACAAACACCTTCCCCATTCAGAACAGTGTTCTCGCGTTCAAGTTCAAATGGATAGACGGCTACACGAAGCCGATATCCTCGCTTTTTATAAGAGCGAGTCCAGAGGTGGAGATGGCCTTGTTCACTCTGTGCTTCGTGACCAGAGCTAATAAGAACTGCCCGGTCGAACTGAATGGTCAGAAGCAGACGATCGCCACTTTTGACATGGGCTCTAATAAAACTATGAATATCGCGACGACATACGTTGTCTGTTGAACAGCTAAAAACACTTATACACGACTGTTACTAATATTAAAAGCTTCGTTTAAAAATTGCCAAACGATCAATAGGTTTTTTTTTTCATTGTTCAAGCGTTGATACGCATTTCGATCTTGAATCTTAATCGCATATTAAACAGATATTTTGATTAACTTCGGTTTCACGTGTGTGTTTGTGTTTCTACGTAGTTGTGTGTGTCATGGATTGTATATGCACATGTCCGATATCTATCAATCAATCAATCATTCACTCACTCATTCATTCATTCAATCATTCATTCATTCACTCATTCATTCACTCATTCATTCACTCATTCATTCATTCACTCATTCATTCATTCAATCTAGTTTTTCAATTCCTCTTTCACGTCATCTTTTGAGTCTAAGGAAGAAGGCATTCCTACAATCTTTAGATTCCAGAGGTAGATACCTGTCATAAAAATCCATGATGAATTCCTCTTCCTTGAACCCGAACATCTGGTAGAGGATGAGGGCGGGGTTACTGGCGGACACGTGTAAGGTCACGTCCTTGTCCGCACATGCCTGCTCGTTTATTGGTCGATGAAAGGAGTAAAAAAAACGGAGTGATTTGATTGGATGACGTCAGGAATGATGGGACGACTCTATTGGATGATTGGAGTTAAAAATGACGGAATAATCATCATCATCATCATTAAAACCATCATCATCATCAAAATCACCACCATCATCATCATCATCATACTTGTAAAAGATGGTAAAGCATGAACTTAGCCACGCCCACTTTACGCCATTCAGGATGTGTGAATATGTATGAGATGTACGCCTCGTCATACGATACGTCGGGTACCATGAAGGCAAATCCTATCACTAACTTTCTATATATGTGCGTGTGTGAAACGTATGTGTTCGTGTGCGTGTGTGTGTACGCAAGTATGTCTGCATACGTATGTATAATGTGTGTGGTATGTTTATGTATGTTTGTATTGTTTAGTGAAATTGTAAAACAATTTTTTTGAGATGTATGTATGTGTATATTTTCTTTATCTATGTGTGTATGTATGCGTATATGTGTGTGTATGCGTTAGGTAAAACAGCGTTGTACATATGTATGTGTGTGTGTGTGTGTGTGTGTGTGTGTGTGTGTGTGTGTGTGTGTATTTGTTCAGGTTTGTGAATAAGATGAAATAAAATGATAAAAAGAACCTTACTTGTATAGTGCTACACAACTGTAATCCGGATAGTCCAAACTCTCTGACACTGTATAATGTGTGCGTGTGTGTGTGTCTTCATGCGTGTGCGTGTGTATGTCTTCATGTATGTGTGCGCGTGTAAGTGTGTGTGTGTGTGTGTGTGTGTGTGTGTTATTTCTATTAATTCCCTTAATTTCACTCATAATTCTCTTTCCCAGAGATGTCTTCAACAACAGCAAACACGCAATTCACATGAGCGCGACGAATGAATGCATGCATTCCACAAATTACATAATTGATAAGCGGACGCCACTTGCGATCGAACGCGGCGGCGGTCAGGGCAGGGCAGCGGTAGAGCCAGACGCCTTAGCCACAACACCATCAGAAGGATACAAACCCAACACTAACAGTCGATTCCAGGCCAGAAGAACTCATTGCAGTATCCATTTATTGAAGGGATGTGCTGGGGCCGAACGTAGCAAAAGTCAATCGGAGATGACGACGACGATGACGATGTAGTAGTTGGTAATGATGATGATGACGACGACGATGATGATAATGATAGCAGTTGCTGTTTTTGATGATGATGATTAATAATTTCTTCTAGCAACCTCAGCCTCAATGGTTTGCTATCGTAATCCCTTCTAATGTACGGCTTCAAAATTCTGATAAAATTTAAAAATTAATATTAATATTAATATTAATATTATTATCGCAACCATAATTATCACTATTATATTATTATTATTATTATTATTAAAATTCACATCATCATCATCAGGGCAAACCGTTTAGTATACGGGCTTCTGATAGGCAAAATGACGTCACTTCCGATCAGCATCTGGACGAATGACGTGTATTTGAAGTTACCGTGCGTCTGACATGACTCCTGGCGGCAAAAATTTTAATTTATAATAATAATAATAATTATAATAATAATAAAAGTTATTTCTGTATGTCTTTATTATCTTATGGATCGATATGTCCATGATTATGAATAGTATCATCATAATCATTATTATTATTATTATACTATTATCATTATTATTATTATCATTATTATTATTATTACCTGATATCTATCCAGAACTCTTGTATCGTTATCATCACCCTCACGGCCACCACCACTACTATCACTACCACCACCACCATCATCATCGTCGTTGTCGTCATCATTTTTATATTTACTGCCATTGTTTTTAATACCGGCTCTGTCTTCGGTGACGTCATCATTGACGTCACCTTTATTATTATTATTATTATTCTTTTTCTTTTTATTTTTGGCAAGAGCGGACATGTAGGAGTCCAAGTTGAACAGAGGTAGGCCTAATTCTCTCTTCCTCTGTTTAAATATTCTCCGGAGTTAATTCTATCATCACCATCATCATCATCACCGACATCATCATCATCACCGACATCATCATCATCATTGACATCCTCATCATCATCATCAGTACCGACATCCTCATCATCATCATCAGTACCGAACATCCTCATCATCATCATCATCACCGACATCATCGATATCATCACACACACACACACACACACACACACACACTCACAAACACACATAGACACTCAAAAACACACAAACATACCTGTCTCATCATTAATTTAGCCTTCAGTTGATTGAGTACCACATTATTATTATTATTATTATTGTTATTATTGTTATTATTGTTATTATTATTTAGAGCAGTCGTTAGATTTTTAAGTAGCATTCTCTCCTCATAGACAGACATTAAGACAAATCTTTGAATGAGTCACACGGAGAAAAATTATTAATTACGAATAATAATATTAATTATGGATAATATTAATTATTAATATTAGCAATTATTATTAATATTAAAAATAATATACACTACACATTTCAATACACATATTATTACTTCTTTGGTTTATCGTCATTGTTTTCCTTCTCAATTTTCCATTCACTTTTAGGCTGACAATTCGGATTCTTTGGTATTATTTGGCAAGGGGTAATGACGTCACGTGACGATAACGAATCAGCTGCCGTAGTTGATAGCATGCCATTGGGACGATTATTGTCAGATGAAAAATTATTATTATTATTATCATTATTATTATTACTACTATTGTTACTGCTATCACAGCTGTTGGTACTAATATTTGATGACGACGACGATGTTGTGATCGTGCCATCATCAATGTGATCATTATAGCTGTTGTCGTTGTTGTTGTTGTCGTTGTTGTTGTTGTCGTTGTTGTTGTTGTCGTTGTTGTCGTTGTTGTTGTTGTCGTTGTTGTTGTTGTCGTTGTTGTTGTTGTTGTTACAGTAGGCGAGTGACGTCAGACACGAGTCGACGACGAAATTTCGGTAGTCATCGTCGTCGTCGTCGATGACGTAATCATCGTCGCCATCGTCATCTTCGTCGTCGTCGTCGCCTCTTAGAAAAAATTCCGGAACCTGCTCTGTTGATTAATGATGATGATGACGACGACGATGAAGATGATGGTGGTTAAATGATGATGATGATGATAATGATGGCGACGATGATGATGATGGTGGTTAAATGATGATGATGATGATGATGGCGATGATGATGATGATGGTGGTGGAATGATGATGATGATGGCGAGGCGATGATGATGATGGTGGTGGAATGATGATGATGATAACGATTGAATGATGATGATAATAATAATGACAAAAATAGCCTTTACAAGAATGAGCATTGCATTGGCATCATCATCATTATCATCATCATCATCATCATCATCATCATCATCATTATTATTATTATTATTATTGTTGTTGTTATCAAAAAACCATTCATTCATTATTAGCCTTACTTTCAACAATAAGCAGACTCTTCTTCATCCATTTCCGCTTTTTTTTTAAATGGCGACGGTGATGATGATGATCATTCACACTTATTACGTCATCATCCTTGCAGCTTGAGTCCTAGAAAGGAAAAAAAAATATTGCGACGACGATGATGACGTCAATTGTATTGAAGACAACGTTGGCGAAGATGATTGTGGTGACGATGATGATGATGATAACAACAACAACAATAATAATAATAATAAATAAATAAAAAGAATCATAATCATCAACACCAATATCGTCATCATCACCGTCATGATCATCATCATCATCGTCATCAGTACGAACTTGGGACGTTTCAGTCTGTTGGGATTTTATATCGTCGTCGTCGTTATTATTATTATTATTATTATTATTATTATCGTTGTTACGACTACTATCAGGATTGCGATTGTTATCATCATCGTCGTCGTCGTCATCAACATCGACGTCATCAGCTTCGTTAGTGTTAGTGATGAATTCTTTGGTTTCGATTTTCTGCTGGTTTGTTTAATGGACTATTTATTATTTCCTTTTTTTTTCAAATAAATTTGTACGTTCCTTCATTCGTTCGTTCGTTCATTCGTTCGTTCAATCATTCATTCGTTCATTCATTCATTCGTTCATTCATTCATTCATTCACTCTATCAATAAAATTCAACCGACCTGTAAAAATTTTTTACAACCATCATCATCATCAAGTTTAGCCTTCTTGAATTTTCCTTTGCTGCTATCATCATCATCAACGCCGTCATCATCATCATCATCATCATCATTATTATTATTATTATTGTTTTTGCAATTATTTTTGTTCTGCTTCTTAACAGAGTTAGCTGGATAGGGAGATCAATGAAAAAAAAGCTATCATCCTCGTCATCATCATCATCACCATCAACAACATCATCATCCTCATCATCATCATCAAAAACACGGTCATCACCATCAACATGATCATCACCAACATGATCATCATCAAAACCCACTATGTCCCAAATGGGGCACAACCCCATCGATCAATTTCCACCATCCTGATTGGCTGAACTGTTGATTGCCCGATTGGAAGTACGTGCCACAGTTCGATGATAATACCCCAGCGACCGTACCGTACCATTTCGTTGTTCGTTTTCTGTTTTTAGTGGCAATGATGCTAATGCGTACTACACTAATTTCACTAACTTTAACAACATCAACAAATAACAAGCCCAATCACATGTTAAAACTATCAGTACTAAAAAAAATTAAATTAATTAAAAAAAAAACTAATTAATCAAACTTCAACATTAAGCCCACTACATTAACTTCCCTAATTTCACTAATTGGCACTAATTCCCTCCCCAAACAAACTTTTTTGCACTGAAAAGCTCATTCCAATGTTTCTCGATGAATGAGCATATGTGCTCCTTCCATCTGAAGTAGCCAAGCATTCCTTCATTGCTATGATGCTGCAGGTTATACATTGTTAACATTAGGACTTGTAGCCTGGGAATATCATCATTGTTATATCAAAAATATAATAATTATCGTATTAAATTATTATATCTTTGCTGATATTTCAATTACTTTCAAAATCTTAACAACATGCTAAATAAAAATAGGATATAACATAACCAAAAAGTTAGTAGAGAAAATAAGGTTAGTACCAGGATAGCTTCAGTCTTGAGTACAGTTCACATCCAGTAGTGCTGCAATTTGAGCAGGTAAACTCGTAGAACACATCTCCAGCAAGCAATGACGTTGGTCCAGACTTCAAACATTCTGCATTAATAAAATATTGAATTATTAATTTATTATTTGTTCACATAAGATTAGCATGTATCCTAGTCTGATGGAATGATTTTTAATAATAATATTTTGCTTTAGTTTAATATATTTATAAAAAAATATAAACCATTGGTTTGGTTTTTAATTTAATTAATAATTTAATTTAATTTTAATAATAAGGTTTGGTAGGAGATTTGAATCAATTGACCAAAAAAACTTTAAAAAAATACTTTGATGGTAGACCCCATTGCAACTTGCACAGCGAAATGTGAAACCGGATTTTTTATCATCTTTAACCCCATGACCGCATAAACACCGGATCGCCATTGATCGATTAGTAATTAGTAATGGGAAAAAATTTTAAATGAACAGATGGTTTAATGAGCGATATATAAGTTTCTTTACCAAAGTAAAATATTTATAAAAATAAAAATTATTACGAAATGTTCAGGACCGAAAATGTATCACTAAAAAAACATGCATCAAATTAGCTGAGACTCGAAGTTGAAAATAAGGAAAAGCACATTTGTCGCTTTTTGTTATCCTCGTCCTATTCAAACTTTTAATTTGATTATTATTTTTTTATCTTTACTCTAACTCCTAATCAGTAAAATGTGGCATGCGGCCAGGAAGCAAGAAAAGGCAATTCGGGTGATGATGGTAGATTACCAGAAGAGAGCTGGCCGTCGGAGAGAATACTACGAGCAAATAGTTAGAATTCTATTATTTTATAATTTATTGGTTTTCATTCTGATGAAAATTTTGTATAAAGTTTTATTTACAACAATGCACTTGTGCAGTTTCTTAGCTTAATTTTTATATTTTTTGTAATTGTGAGTAACAAAGTTACAAATACCCCAAGAAATGTTAACTTTTAAATTTTCCAAACTTTCCAGAAACAAGATCCCAATCAGTTTATAAGAGTTTATGGTCGATCTCTAAAAATTCACATAGATCCACAGTTGGCTGCCTCTGCAGAGGGCCCACAAATAATGTTAGTAATAATTTTTAATTATTTTTTTTTATCAAATTTATTCATATCTCTAGAAATTTTGTTATAATATAATTAAAATAACCCAAACTAAATTATAATACAAAGAATTATGTAAATTTATTGAATCGTTTATAGATATATCTTTTATAGTTACACCGACTACTATATCATACTATACACTATATAACTATAGAGTTATTTATAGACAATATAGCTAATTTTTATAAAGTGTTATTTTATTATTAATTTTTGATGATTCTTTAAGTTATAATTAATAATAATTTTTACTATTATAATATACAATTCTTATCCTATTCATATTTATCATATCAGGCAGCCATGGCAAGGCGACTCAGAGGTTTTGATTGACAGATACGATGTTAGGTCCCATATAGATTACCTACCAACTGTCACACATATTGAGTTGGTTTTATTGTTTTGTGTTATCTTTATCTTATTTAGTATTTTTTAGGCTTGGCCCTCTGATCAAGTAAACGAGTTTTGGGCCATTTTTTATTACTTTTAATTTTAAAGAAAAAATTAGTTTTGAATAGTGATATTTCTAACAAATTATTCTAACTGCTATTTTATTATCTTCTTTAGCTTTGGTTTTTAATTTAATTATAGATTTAATTTTGAATATTTCAATAGTTAATTATTAATTTTTATTCAAAGAGAGGAACCAGATATAGAAGAAAGTAGATGCAACTACGAACGTTACAGGATTCTTGTTCAGAATGATTGTGCCGGAGGTGAGATGGGAAAGAAGTTTTTCAAAATGAATGAATGAGTGAATGAGTTAGAGAAGGTGAATGAGTAAGAGAAAGAGTGAATTAATGAGTAAAGGAGAGTGAATGAATGAATGAATGAATGAATGAATGAATGAATGAATGGGTTAAAAATGGTTTTTAATTTTCAAAATTATTTAATTTTGATATTTAAAAATATATATAACAAAATTAATAACTCTAGTATCGGAGGACCAATGCCTGCATCAGATATACATAGATGAACAGTTTGGTTCAATAGAGCCGAGTGTTAAAACAGAGGAGGAAAAGAAGAAAAAGTCGGTGCTATATCATTTTTTTGTTATTATTATCACTCTTTGTTTTACAAAATCTAATCAACATTTTTTTCACTCATCAATAAGATCAGCGGAGAAAAAGGCCGCCATTGGTTATGTGTATGACGATGGTGGTGGAGGCAGTGACAGAGATGGTGGAGGAAAAGGAGGGGGTTGTACAGGGGGTTCTGGAGGTACCTCCAGTGGTTCTGTAGGGCTCAAAAATCACTTTGCAGGTCTTGGTGGTAAGAAAAATGATGACCATTTTCTTGTTCCTGAAGATGATTTGTCAGATTTTGAAGAAATTGATCTGGGTAATTTTTTAACCTTTGTTTATTTTTAAAAATAAAATATTGTTTAAGGAAACATAAATTTCAACATTTTATTATTTCCCAACCCTGAAACCATAGACAACATACTAGACATAGAACTATTAACGAGTGAACAAGAAAAAGTCTTAAATGGCATTTCTCATTCCTATGGCATGATTGGTGATGATTATGCTGAGTAAGTTGTACTATTGCTTTGTGTGCGTGCGAGTGTGTGTGTTTGTGTACATCTGTGTATGTTTATGTGTAATTTTTTCAATACGTCTGTCTGTGTGTGTGCATGCGTGTGCATGCGTGTGTGTATACATCTGTGTATGTTTGTGTGTAGTTTAATTCTTTCGATATGTGTGTATGTGTGTGTGTGTGTTGTGTTATTGTTCTAATATGTGTGTGTGTACATTCTCCAGGTTCCTACAGATAGATAGAGATGAGTTGGAAGCATTGAGGAGAGTCAAAGAAGTTGAAGAAGCCAAAGCCCAATTTGCCGTGCGAAACTCATTTTTGGAAATTGCTATTTATTTATTTTATTTATTTATTTATTTGATTTATTTAATTTTCAATTTTTTGTTAAAATTGTACTGTTAAATGTCAATTTTTCAATGTTTTGAACTTATGTTTATTGGTTTCTTTTTGAGCGTTTTTCGTGATTTCTGATTTCTTCTAGTTCTAATTTTTTAACATTTAATTTGAAAAAAAAAAATTTTTTGCTTGTACAAGCCAGTCTAGACGTGAGAGGAGAGCGTTCAAAGACAGACGTCTGATCAGACATAGGATTCATGGTCTGCCAAGGTATTTATAGACATGTTTTGATATGTCTGATTCAGTTGATTTAATTAATTAATTGATTGGTTAAGTAATAGATATTTTGTTTTTATATGTTTTTACATTTTAAATAAGTGAATTGATTGTATGAAAGTGATTAGCTAAATCGGTAAATGAATTATTATCAACTATGTACTTAATTTTATTGATTGATTGGTTGGTTGATTGATTGGTTGATTGACAGTTATGCAGCTAAGAAATCGAGTCCCCAGCACTTCAACTCTTCAGCCTATAGGTAGTTACATTTATATTTTCAATCATTTATTTTCAGTGTGGCTGGTATTTATCTGAATCCGCTGTACAGTATTGATACGTAATGGAATAGATATTTTCCAGATTCACACATGTATACATATATTGCACTTTCAACTTTGATATCTCTTATTTGAAAGTCGTTAGTTCGTTGACGTTGTCTACATTATTCTCTCTTCCTCTCTATCTTTATATATTTATCTTTGTTTTACAATCTCTTCTATCTCTAATAATCTCTTCTATCTCTCTCTTTTTTGCTCTCTATCTCTCTCCCCCCTCTCTCTTTCTCTCAGAACGTCGTCGTCGAGGTCTCGATCGAAATCACCGCCGGCCAACACAGTAGAGTACATCACCAGTTTCGGTGGAGCAGTGGAGGTGAAGTCCTCAGATGATGAGAAGGATAAAAATCTGTCGCTCCTGCCACCTGTTGTCGGGCCACTTTTACCTGGCACTGCCAAAATTATCAAGTTTGAGTTTTTCACTCCTCTTTGTTTTTCAAATTAGTCGATCAATTAATTAACTTCAACTGTATATTATTATATTTTTTGTTTATTAATCTACTAAGTTTATTCAACAAAGTTTCCTCATCTACTTAAGGCCAAGTGATAGATCAAGGACATCCGAGAATGGTGAGCAAAGGAGGTCACGATCAAGGTCAACTAGAAGAAGATCACGTGCACGAAGTTCAAGGTCGCGCAATTCCCCGTCGAGAAGGTCACGCAGAAGTAGGTCAAGACAAGGAGTCAAGAGACGTAGGTCAAGACATCGATCGAGGTCCAGTCGAAGAAGTAGATCTAGGTCTCATAAAAATAGATCAAGATCACGTAGGAGTCGGTCGCGACATAGAACTAGATCGAGGTCTAGACGTAGATACAAGTCTGTTTCTAGGCCACCCAGAGGAAGAAGAAGATCTAGGTCAAAGTTAGACAGGCGTTATTATTCAAGGTCCAGGAGGATAAGTCGAAGTTTGCAAAGGAGTTCAGCTGACAGGTAAGGTGTAGTGGTCAAATAATACTTTGAAATGTGTTGTGTTTAATTGCAACGGTTAATTTATTACAGTGTTTCGTACCCTGTGTGTCTATAATTTTTTACTTATTATTATTTCCATTCAGATCATCGAGTTCAAGGGGTGACAATGTTTCTGATTCAATCAGCATCATACTGAGTAGTCACAGCAGCAGCAGCAGAAGTCGTTCTCGTGAGAGAAGTGCTAGCAATGCAAGTAGTAAGCACACTGATGGTAGCAACAACAAACAACAACAACTACCCATTAAAAAATATAGAAGGCCCAGTCTGTCTTCCAACTCCTCTTTTGAAGATGACAGTGATGGTGAGGATGATGATCAAAGTGCCATCAACGAAGATGGCGATAAGAGCAAAGAGCAGAAAATTAATTTAAGTGATAAATATAAAAAAGACTTCTTTGGTGGGAGGTCAGTGTTCTTTCAAGTTTACTCCAAAGTTTCGATTTACTAAATTTTATTCATCTTTACTTCAAGTTTTTTGGATATTTTAAAAATTCATTTGATTCATATCAGAGCATGAAATTAATCTGAAAATTTTTACATCACCCATAAAAACCTACCAAAACTTCAACTGCCACTACTACCGCAACGGCAACTTTTCAAACTATGATTTTCTGTGTTTGGCGGAACTAAAGACCAGACCCCCAAACAAAGATATTGAATAGTAAAGGGACAATCAAGACAGCTAAAGTCAGTAAGAATTTACGGTTCTTCATCGAGAGCATTGACAACTACTAAACTACTAGAACTTGTTAATTTTTTTCACAGAATCCAACTTTTCTTATTATTTTTCAATCATTATCATTCAACAAACATAATTTTTAAAATTTCAATTCAAATCTTTGAATAACTTTGAAATGAACGAACAAAAATTGTTTTCAGACGTCGTCAGCCAATAAGATGACACCCCAAGAAAGATTGAAACGTAAAATGCAACTGGCGTTAAACAGACAATGTATGTAGAAGATTTCATTAGATTATACTATTGCATCTGATGTTTCAGCCCTAGTTTGCACGTGCATTTGGGGTTTTCTGAGTATCTTTTAATACATTGTTTCTTTTATATGCTTTTAAAATTTGTTTCAAGCATTTACATTCACATTAATTTCTCTTTATACCTTTGTTCTCAAGTCAAAGCAGACAAGTTGGCACAGATTGAAAAACAGACTAAGGAGGAACAAATGAAACAAGTACTGCACATGCTATTCGCAACTGTTTATTTCTTATAGAATTTTTGCCATCTATTCATCGCCATCATGCCACATGATCGACCTCTCAATCAAAAACACAAACAAACCAATTGATGAAACCACACCAGGATCGTGAGGAGGAGTTGAAGCTGATGGCCTCGGCTCTCAGACAGAGAGATAGAGAGAGAAGACACAGAGAGAGGGAGGAACTCGAGAGGTTGGAGGAAGAGCATGAAAAAGAGAAAGGAGTTCAAAGGTCAAGGAGTGGGTCAAGGTCACGAAGAAGGCGATCCAGAAGTGGGTCACATTCCCGATCCAAACACCAAAGGCAGAGAAGGTCCAGATCAACATCTAAGAGATCCAGGTCCAGGCATTCACGATCAAACAGGTTAGCAGTTTACATCTTATAAACTTTCTTGCTTGTTTAATATTAACATATATATTAACCACTCGTAAAACAGACTGATTTATTTAGTTTACATCTAATTGTATTTTCACCAGGAAGCAGCAAAGATCTGGATCAAGAACACCAAAGCTGAAACTCGTTGATTATTGAATAAAATGCTTTTACTAAATTTTTCCAATTCCTTCAAAATCTTCAACTTCACTAATATATTACATGCAAATTTACTTAATAGAATTGCACATAAGCTCCCTTAATGTATCCAGTGAATGACTTTAACTTAAACATTTATTTTTCAAACATTAATAAACAGAAAACGGTTTTTGGTTTTTATTTTGAATCAAATTTTATTAACGCAATGTTGGCCAATGCATAATTTGCACAAACTAATTAACAGTCAACATTATAAATGATTAATTACGATGTGGCTTGGCTGTTTGGACCCTTCTTTCTGCCAAACCCAGCAACAACATTAACAAATCTTCTGTTGTACTGCATGCGCCTCTTTGCACGACCCGTCTTCTTTTTCTTCTTTTCTTGTTTCTCTACCTGTTCAAATGCATCAAAAAAGATCATATAAAATGAATTAAAAATTCAAATGCATGATTACTTGTCAAACATAAATGGTTAATTGTTTTTTATGCATTGATAAATCCATTAGATCATTAAATCAATGATATGCAGAACTTACTTTCGGTGTTTGACCTTTGACCTTACCAGCACGAGCCAGTGAACCGTGGACTTTACCTGTATAAAATTAACAAACAATATTTTTAATATGCTTGTTTTATTTAGTAATTGGATTTTTTAAATTTATTAACTGGGCACAAAGTGCTCTTAGAAAGACAGAATGTCAAAATTAAAAAAATCAAAAATGTGCATACCTCCAAGCAGCTTGACGTTCATCTCCAAGGTGCAGAGATCAGAAGCGAAACTACTGACCATGCACTCATTGTCAAGAGGAACACCAGCATAGTAGAGAACCACATCCTCTCTGTTTAGTGATTCGGCAGGAGCAACCAAGGATTTTAAAGTAGCCACCGATGTATTTTCGGCTACATTTACTGTCTGTAACGTTTGACCTCTAACAAAAAGCTGCATCTTCTGGTGGTGAAAATAACGGCAGAAATTAGACTTGTCTAACTCAAACTAAAGTAAAATGTTCGTTTTTTAACTAACATTCTCTAACCACGACCCTAACCAACTCAAAATTTATACTAAATATCATTTCTAACTTAAAATTAACAAATGTTCGTTTCATGTTTTTTAAAAAAAACGTTCTTTTGTTAAATTAGGGAAAAATTAGGAAAAATCAAAATCACGTGGAGAAATATAGATAATCTTTAATTAACCAAAATAATATTTAAAAAATAAACTTTTACTTGTTTTAAAATTGAAGATCGTATAAAATGAAATAAAGAAAAATAAATTAAAATAAATAAAAGAAAGTTAACCCACGTTCGCTAAAGATGTCGAGCAAAAAAAAAGGAAAATCAACAAGTACGACTGAAATTCTTTGGTTGAAATCAGGGATGGCTAGTAATACAAGCAATGATATTTCACAACACATCATCTTATGAAAACACAGAAAACTATAAAACGTCTGGAATACAGAAACAAGACGAATAAAATATATTTTTAATGATCATTTTATAACTGAACGTAAAATATCCTATAAATTATTCATTTATTCTAGAATATTCTTTTACTGAAATTTTATTTTGAATTTATTAAGACAACGTAAAATCTACCGTCCAAATGTTTTATTCAACACAAAAACGTTGCACTTATATTAAAAAGTATTTAAGTATTATAAAACAGGATTATTTATTAAATACAGCTATTTACTACATAATTGATTCATCAACTAGTAAACAATAGTGAACAAGAAATAACTAATAACTATCAACAGTAATAATTTCAATTTTCTGAATCGACATTTGTATAGAATATATGTGAATAGACATAATCTACTTTTAGTTGCATGATATAAGAACAAAACTGTAACAATAAATAAAGTTGCTTGTACACAAACACGAATAAATACAAACATGTGCATTGAATTCAATAAAATTTCAATAAAATTATATAACAAACAAATAGTAAAACTATAAATTAACAACTGATGAAACACAATTTTTATGAAAAAAAAGAAGCTAGGAAGACAATTCCGGCAGGGAAGCAGATGGGCAAACAAAAATGGCTACAATGAGTGTGGTCGCGAGTCCCAGGCTCACTATTAGGTAAGTGATGACGAGAACGTATCTCCAACCCCAGAAAGACTATTGTGAATTAAAAACGAATAAGTTTTCATTTCAAATTAATACATCTACGTTAAAATTTAACGTTAAAATGGTAAAAATTAGCAAAAATTTGTTGGAATTACATCAGCAGATGCGAAGACTTCCTCATTTGACATATTTGCATAGCCAAAATCTGGTTGATGAAAATTAGGTTGAGTTATTAACTATTATTAACTAATAATATCAATTCTATCAATATATTTACTTGATTATTTATTTAAATTACCTAAAATTAGTAATGACGTAAATGAATGTGACAGAAAATATATGAAAAAACTAAATAGTGAAAGATTGATGAGGCAGTTTTGTGAAAGCGATGGAAGTAAATTAAAAAATAAGAACATACTTGGTTGAGATTTCATCAGGGAGAGAAAGCAATCGATGAAAATCCTGAAGAGTCCGTAGACAATGGCTAGCCACTGCACCCAGCTTGGCAAGTCGGCGAATTCACTTCTTAGACCAAAGAACAAAGTTACGACTTTTGGAAAATTGAGAATTATTTAAGATAAATTACATTGTCACTGATATAAAATGTATATTTAATTTAATACAGATGAATTGGTGATTTTAAAATCTGTATTTACGACTTCATTACTAACAAAACAACCAGCGACACAACGACCAACCACACAACTAACAACATAATGACATAACATTTTTACAAACAAACAAACGAACAAACAAACGAACAAATCACTAACATCCAACAAAATGTATAGCGTGTCCATTGAAGCCATGAACAATATTGAAAAATATTCTGTATTTTGAGTCGACACCTGGCCTTAACATGCCTAAGAAGATCTATAAAACAAGTGTTTGGCGGTAAGATTTCAATTCAAACGATTTAAAATCATTATTTAATAAATACATACAAACATACATACAAACAAACAAACATACAAATAAAATGCAACTAAAGTTTGCGTTGCTTTGCCATACACATACACTTATCTACACACGCTAATATAAAATATTTTATTAGAACAAAAAATTTCGATTGAAATACTGTCTGATTTTAATTAAACCATTTACTTTAATTAAAAATAAAAGAGCGTACGTACATTGAAAACGAGCAAGCTCATAACAGTGAGACCCATTATCGAATGAACACCTGGCTAATTTTTTTCAATTAACAAACATTGAAAAAAATTATAGAAATTATTATTATTATCACTACTACTACTACTAACTACTACTACTACTACTACTACTACTACTACTACTACTACTAACATAAAATGTCCAACCAGACTGAGAGAATATAAACAAGAGACCGCATAGTACCAACAGAGCAGATATAAGCATGGCTGACCTGTGTATCTGAATGAACGAACGAACTAATGAATGAATGGATGAACGAATAAACGAATGAATTAACAAATGAATTAACAAATGAATTAACGAATGATGGAACGAATGAACAAATGAAAGAATAGATGGATAGATTAATGATTGAATGTATATAAAATAAAATAAGTGAATGAAATTTATACATAAAATAATACACGTACACAAAAACACACACACACAAACACACACAAACACAAAGACAAACCTGAAACCAGAGAGCCGCATTACATATGACAATCCCCCTTAGCCAATCACCTTTCATGTATCTAGATATCACGGTACCAAAACTTATGAAAAACATCCAAACCATCACCATGAAAGAGCCTGATGATTTTAAATATCAACCAACCAATCGATCAATCAATCAATCAACTAATCAATCAATCGATCAGCTAATTAATCAATCAATTAATTAATTAATTAATCAATCTTATAATCAATCAATCATGAGTCAATTTTCAACAAGGCAAACCGTAATTGTTATTCTTCTAAATCATTTATCAAGCAATCAATCAAATAATAAATCATCAAATCAACCAACAAACCAACCAACCATGTAACTTAACAAACAATGGCCTATTTGATTCAACGGTGGAATTGTTCAACAGGTCAATCTTATAATTAGACTTGTACACGGGCTTATGGTGCTTCATTTTTAATCCTTTCAAAAAATAATAACTTAGCAATTATTATGATAATTAATTATACGTAAAAGTGAATAAATTATGATAATCTACTAAATAAAATATACCCTTGCACTTGAATTCAGTTACTGCAACAGTAATCAATCAATCAATTATGATTGATTACTGCAACAGTAATCAATCATAATTATAACAGAAGTTAATAAATCATGCTACTTTAATTATTACTAAAGGTCAGAAGGTTAAATATTTACAATGACCTTTAGAATCAGCTGGTCCATGAGCCATAAGTATGTAATAAGGAATGTCAAGGTCTTTAACCTTTATATATATATATATATATATATATATATATATATATATATATATATATATATATATATATATATATATATATTACATAAAAAAAAAGAGAAATATGTGTGTATGTGTGTATTTATATGACTGGTTATACAAATAAGAGATTAATTGAATGAATGAATGAACAATAGAAAACATGATTTATAAACCCCTAGCACCTTATAAGCCTCTGGATTTAATTTATCTACTTTGATGAAGTGTGTGAAGCTGCAAGTTATCCTTCCGTCCACAACCTGACCTGATAGTGACCCCGGGACTAGTCCTAACTTGGACTGGGATGTTTGAAATTAGGGAAAGAAATTAGTAACAAAGTAATGCAATCAATAATGTAAGGAGTAATGCAATCAATAACAAAAATTTAATGAGCTTAATTAATTTAAAGCATCTTAAAGTATTAATAAAAATTAATACATAAAAATTATACATTTTATATTCATGATATATATATATATATATATATATATATAGAGAGAGAGAGAGAGAGAGAGAGAGAGAAAGAGAGAGAGAGAGAGAGAGAAGTAGTGGGATAGCATACATACATCCTTCAATGGTTGATTTTTGTACTTGGAGCTGTATGAAGCCTGGATTATGACATTGTCTGCTATTTGAATGCAGTCTACGTATCCTGCATTTGGCTTATTATAGTTAATTGTATTTATATAATAATAATTTATTATATAATTATTAAATAATAATATTAACAAAATGCCACACCTATACTACTATTCCATGTTTTCATGTTTGTTACTTTGTACTATTAACATTTTAAAACTATAAAAGTATAAAATGACTAAATATATTTTAGATTTTTAGAAAAACACGAAACAGATTTAGAATAAAATAAACTTTATTTAAAAATTTTTTAATTAATAAAAAATTTGGAACTAATTCAAAGAAACATCAACCAACCATACAGTCAATTTCACCGAATCCAAGCGCCACCCAAGATGAGTTATCTTTTGCATCGCTAGTCAAGTTAAATTGTATTTCCCCACTTGCCGTTGCCGAAAGGACGGACCAAGTTAGGATAAATAGGCAATCAACTCCAGTACAAGAATCCGGATATTTAATTATATTTTGATTTTGGTGTTGTTGAGTCGCCGTATTTATTGTAGAAAGCTGCAAAATTGTTTTATTTTTCAATTTAAAAAAAAAGGTTATTAATGCCAAAATCCTTTTTTATGTTAAAAATTTGAAAAAAAATTAAAAGGTAATTCTAAATAGTATTAACAACCGATATAAATAACAGGAGACACGGAATCATGTGATTTATCATGCTAAAACTCTTTAAAATTAAGTCTCAAGTTGAATTTCATTAATTTTAACAAATTTCCAATACCACAAATCTATTTTTTCATGTAGTTAATCAATTAGTTACTAATACTCAATAATACTCAATTTAAACAGTATTTAGTACAAAATTAAACTTAATAACCAATGATAAACTTAACAGCCTATATTTAGCATAGTTTACTTGTGGTTCAAAATGCATTACTTTCTATCTTAAGATAATTTTTGAGATACATAATCTGTGTTGCACTTTGTTACACACACACACACACACACACATACATAGTACATACACACACATATATAGTATACACACGCACACATAGTACATACACACACATACAAACACACACACACACACATATATATACATATATATATATATATATATATATATATATATATATTATATAGCCTCATATAATACAGATACAGATAAAATATAACTGCATTTTTATTACTAAATACATATGACCTGGCCAATTAGCTTTATTATTATTAAATATATATTTTTTATAACTGTATAAATTGTGTCGTGTATATTATATATATATGTGAAGCGGCAAAAAATTTACGTTGATATATAATCCATATATAACTTATAAAACAAAATTAACTGTTTACTAATTTGTGTTGTGTTCTTAACTAAAATGAATACATGTGTTGTGTGTGTGTGTGAGTGAGTGAGAAAGAGAGAGAGAGAGAGTATATAGACACACATGTACGAGTGTATGTATTATATGTATATATATATATATTTATTTATTTATATTGATATAAATATATATATACGTGTGTGTGTGTACATTAATAGAAATAATTTTTATATTGAAAACGCCTTCTTAGGAATTGAAATTAAAAAGAAAGATGCAGTTTGGATGCGCTGCTACAGATATTGCATACGATAGAGACAGCTATATAATCAGTTGCTATGGCAACCAGGTGTTCAAAAAATATTTTCTTTTAGTAGGATGGATATTTTATTAACTAATTGTTTAATGGTCTGTAATTTAATAATCGTTATTAATATTCCTTAAAATTCAGTTATTTATTGGCTTGTTGCAATTAAAATATGATGGACATTCACCTCAAAATGTGTAAAAAGATTGCTCAATTGACGAAAGTTAGTAGAGGCCGGGGATTGTATGGTTTTCTAATCTGAAATTAAATTAAGAAAGACGTTTAATTACATTCAGCAGTTTGTTTAAGCATGAATAACGTTAAACAGATTTATCTTCCGCATTGAATTTAACCATAAATATGTATATTCAAATACAGGCCACATGAATTCATTGTATGTGTGTCTGAATATATTTCACAATCCTTCCTTTATTTTTACTCAGACGTACCAGCAACAAACACACGTGAATCAACACATCACATACGTTGCGTGAAGCAGGTTAAGAACTGCTTGTATTCGAACAAGGCCATCGCAACATAAGTTCCAGGCATTCCAAATATAACACCATCATGTCTTCTACTCCAGTTATTTTTACAAAATCTGTGTTCTTTATGAAAATTTAATGAAATCTTTTTCACTATTAAGTTTTTTTCAATAGTAATGACCGTCATACCCAGGTAATCCATTCCCTGACGGTGAAACAATGGGAGGAAAAGAAAAAGGCAGACTTTACAGAGAGCTTGATTTCACGTAACGATGCAATTATGTCTGATCTCAGGTATCTGGAATAAATTTTAGTTTGAAATTTAAAAAATGTACTTTGCGCACAACTTGCTAGAATAATTATTATCACAATGATCAAACAACAAACTATCGACCTCATCTATATGAAATTCCTTCCCAGCTATTTATATTACAAATGTCAGATATTAAATAGTTACTTCGATGAACTGATGAATTTTTTTACAAATTTCTGCAAAATATTTTAAATAAATTAGTTTTGAAACACATTGTAAACAGAAACAGATTGAAAAGTGAAGAAGAAACGAAGGCAAGCAACGAGAGATTAATAATTTCATTAAGAGAACAGTTAGCAAACAGCCAGAAAGAATCAGCAGATTTGAGACAGCTCTACGAAGCTACATTGAAATTACTAGCAGACAACATGAGAGATATAAACACAAAGCATAAAAACGATTTGAAAACCATCGAAAAGACATTTAACAAACTTAAAAATGAGATAGTACTAACCCATTTCAACGAATTCCAATTGAAAATGGAGACATTCTTTAGAGATAAAATTGATCTTCAACAGAAAGTGAATAAGAATCAACATCTACATATTTCAAATGTCAACGACCTCAAGCTGAGAATTGTCGAACTTGAACGAGAACTTACTGAAAGAACGACGGAAATTTCTAACTTAAAATCAAAATTAGAAAGCGAAAAATCGGAAATCGCTATCCTAAATTATGATATCTCGCATTTAAAGGAAAAAATTAGAGTAGAAGATTTGGCCAAAAGAGCAAACGCTGTCGATAAAGAAACCAACACGAGTTCTAACATTATAAATGTCAACAACTCAGATATAACCAACCAATCATCAGAACGATCACCACCATCATCATCCCATTCATCATCATCGTCTTTCGTAACGTCATCATCAACGTTTTCATCACCATCTTTTCTAACACCATCAACATCGCCGTCACCAAATTTAAACAACGATATTGACAGAAACGTAACATCGGCGTCAAACAACCTCGACATTATGTTGAAAAATCTTTCCAACAATATCAACGATGCTAAAAATGTTGCAAAAACATTATGGCAGCTAATTCTCAACAGCAATAACAATAACTATAAAAGCAAAAATACTATAATAAATAAAACTGGTAACAAATTGAGAAGAAATAATATTAGTAGCAACTTGAATTGATAAAATAATAATGTAAATGTATAACCAGAGATAGCAACGTAAATGGTAAACTGAAAATGATAAATGTTTGACAAGTTTTCATTGCGCGCGTGCACGTATGTTAGAAATTATTATTAATGTTACGGTGCGAGTTGTCGAGATGTATACACAAGAAAGGAAATTGAATTGAAGTAATTTCATGGTTGAGAAGAGAAAAAAATTAAATAATTTTAAAATCGTGATTGCAGATTTAGTCAATGTTACAATATTTCAATCCAAATCAGTCACCTACTCAATCAATCAATTAATCAATCAATTAGACAATCAATCAATTAACCAATAAATCATTTAACCAATCAATTAACAAATCAATTAATCAATCAATCAATCAATCAATCAATCAATTTACACGAATTTTTACAAATAAATTTTATACAATTTAACAACTTCTAATAGTAGGAAAGAACACGGAAGAGCAAGCAAAACAAGCGACACCTCATCACAATAACACACACACATTCATGCATATTCATGTTCAATTTCATGCATATGTATCCATGCATTTTCGATCTTATTAGAATTCAATACTATAGGACAATTTTGTGCAATATATATATATATATATATATATATATATATATATATATATATATATATATATATATCTACATTTATAAAGTTAACATTAGCATGTTTGTAAGAAGAATGTATAACATTTGTATGTAATACATTACAATTAGGAAAATACTATAATGTGTAAGAAGTATCATGCAAAGCATACATATCTATGTATGTATGTATTGTATATATGTGTAAATGTGTGTGTATGCATCTGTGTGTGTGTGTGTGTGTGTGTGTGTGTGTGTGTGTGTGTGTGTGTGTGTGTGTGTGTGTATGTGTATAAACGTATGTATGAACGTGTACGTGTGTTCGAATTACTTTCCAAAATTACTAAAATCCATTTTTAATCTGATACTAGGCTGAGTATTTTGCTGCTGCATAAGATGTTGCCTACTCGTTGCGCCACCATCGCCAGCGTTGCTACTGGTGGTTGCTGAGGCTTTTTGTCGGTTGCGAGTTTGCAGGGCCATCTCTAATTTGGATCTCTGCACTGGTAGTTTTTGTATCACAGTCTGGAATTGCGATCTGAATTGAGTTGCTATGTCTATGAGCTTTTGCAGCACTACGTCGTGCAGTTTTGTTGAGAGGGATGTTGATGATGATGATGTCGTCGTTGTCGATGTCTCGTCGTTCAACATCGAGACCATCACAGGGATGACGGGTGTCAGTAGGAGGACTCCTAAATAGGGTGATGTGATTTTATTTGATGTCAGTGATGCCCTGACCGTTGTGATTAATGTTGCAACATTGTCTATGCTGCCAATGTTTGTAGATACTTCGGGAGCAGTGTTAGTAGAAACATCTATCATAATTCGTGATTAAAAGTAGAAAAAACATGACGAAAGTCATCATCATCATCATCTTCCTCCTCCTCATCATTCTTCCAACATCATAAGATCACCGTTATCATTTCAACTTTCTAAATAACCATCATCACCATCATCACCATCATCATTTCAATCATCATCACCACCACCATCATTCCTACTGTGATCATCATAATCATCAGCAACGACGACCATGCACTCGAGGAACTTGGCACCCTCTATATGAATATTAATCTCGTCTTTACTCATAAAGCTCTTCTCTGATTGGACGAGATAATTAAAAATGGGAGGTCCCAGAGTTCGAATGAACTCGTGTGACAGGCCAACATCTGATCTTTGAACAATGGAGACTACTGATTTGACAGCTTTCAACTTCAGCTATTTATGAATAAATAAATTTAATAAATAAATAAGTTATAGACTAACAAAAAAAAACTCATACATAACTTTATGAGATGAAAAAAATTAATTAAATACAAAGAAAAGCAAATATTCAAACGTCTTTATCTTGCGAATCAATTGCTCTTTTAAACAATGACATGGACGGTTCCATTATCTCAGGGTGGGTGACAACATTAGGTGGACATGTAATGAAGAATATTGTTGCAGCTAGTATTAATATGCCATCGTCAATACCTAGTGTTGGTGTTGTGATGCTCTGTTAGCTATTCAGGTAGTGATAAATAACCTAGTAAATAGTTATAACAATAACACAAGTAATGGTAAGTAAATAAGCATTAATTATGTAATAAAATATATGCTAATGAATAGCGATTCGTAAATTTTGAATTAACTTCAATTCAATTTAAATTTAAACAGCTACTCACGCGTCACCATCGCAAAAATTTCATCTTAGAAAAACAAATCCAAAAAAAATAGACTAGATTTTTTTGTCTCGTTCATAACAGGTGGGAAAAAAAACACAAAAAATTAGAGCCCTTAAAAGCAAATCCATTAACAACCTGTTCCGACAACTTCATCAGCGTTACCAATAGTATTATCAGTAGTATTTGTATTAGTACTACTGCATGAAAGTAGTGTGTAGAGAGTACTCTGCAGTAGACTAGCCCAATGCTGGCGTACGGATGGATGCTTGCTTGTTGGGTGCGTGCATACCTCCTTCAATGCTCGTAAGACTGTTGCTACTAGCGAGGGTATCTGGAGTTGATGATGATGATGATGTTAAAAATGTTGTTGTTGATGAAGACGATATTGACGATGATGTCATTTTATCACCATCATTCTTGTATCATCATTCAAAAGGTACCTTAACGGAACCTTTAGGTGCCAAACTTTTGAGCACACCAGTCAATAGAGATAATACACTTGGCAGTACTGCAATACAACCTGCCGGGTTTTTAAATTACTGCTGTCATCGATGCCATCACAAACGTCATTCTCACTATCTTCCTCATCATATTCATCCTCATCGTCCTCACCACCTCACCGACTCACTCGAAGGCGAACAGAGATCCAATGATTCTACTAATAGCCAAACGACATCAGACAAGAGGTCGACAGTAGGAGCGCCAAAACTCGTCTGCTTGAAAAACAAGATGGCCGACGAAAGCGACGACGTCGACGATGATAGCGACGGTATGGCGGGATTGAGAGAGGGGATGTGTCGGACGAGTACGCACAGGCACACCTCGAGTGTGGCAAAAACCAGGGATTTCCCAGGTATTATTTCGTCTGGAGGACTTTTGGAGTCTGTTTTGGTTTCATTTTCGTTCGGTTTGGTAGTTTCGCTGTTGCCATCGAGTGATGGGTTTTCTTGTTCTGTTTAAAAAGGTTAGACGAGAAAACGCCAGAAATTAACATTGCAATCGTTGATAATTTGATTATATTTCTCGAGATTATCGTAAACATCATTGCAAACTTACGCCAGCTTCCAAAATCTCCAAATAAAATCCTGAAACATGTAACCAAAGATAATAATTAAACTTTTCCATCCAATCACGTCATAGCAAAACTAAATACAGCACATAAAACGATCATGTGACTGACTTTCAGTTGCACTTTTAGAATCACGATGGGATTTCACGATCTTTCTGACAAGGTCAATGACCAGGTGGAAGCACTCAGTCGAGTCTCTTGTCAACAACAATCTGCACGATACAATATTTACTCAATAATTTTCATTTTTCAACAAAAAATACACACACAAAACAAACACACACACAAACGAACACACACACACACAAAAGGATACGTACACACACACACACACACAAAAGAATACGTACACACACACACACACACACACACACACACACACCTATGAAGAACATTGAGAAGTTCAATAGAGAGTTGTAGATCGGCCGCCACACGTTCAGCCACCCATTGGTCATCGAGAAGAACTGACAGTGACTTTAGACACATATTGATCGTTTCTAACGTCTGAACCGAGGTAGGGTTGCACATGGCTTCCGTGCAAATACCTTTCGTCGTAAGACATTTGTTCAGTCAGAATTTTTATGGGGCAGTTATAAAACGCTTTCGTCATTATATAAACGTTGCAATTTTTTGAAATTTTTTCAATCTTGTTATTATTATAAAACATAACTCTAAAAAAACAAAAAAAAGTTTGACTACGTACATGTAAACAAATAAAATTTGATAAACCAAAAGGCATCGACAACCAGCCAACTCACCCAGTAACAAATAAAATCTATCAGCATGAACCTCCTTTTTATCGTCCACCCGAGCAGCATCACTAACTATCATGGCTGGACCCCCAATCCCGTTTTTCAGCACATCCCTACGTTCATCACTAGCAGCTTCATCGGACCAGACCTTAATTGAATTAGTGAAACCGACCTGGTTGAGCCAGAGGCATGCGGCGTAGAGTATGGGAGGCCAGGATTTCTTATAGTAGGGTCGGGAGGTGTCCATCGTGTCGTGCAGGTAGAAGGCACCACCCTCTGCAGGCAACTGGTTGGCGTATTCTGGTGGACGTGCGCAAGTTAATAGTCAGTTGATGACTGAACTGGCATCAGAAGCCATCAAACAGCCATAAACAAAAAGCCACAAACAAACAATAAACCTGACGGTAGAGAGAGCAGTGCGTAGTCTCTCAACATAGCCATCCAGTGCCTACTCAGCATCTTGATTTCCATCTCCACCAGACTCAACAAACTCTCCTGCGCACCACCAACGCCCGAATTTCCCACTCCATTTCCGGCAAATTCCCCAAACTCGTCGTCGTCGTCGTCGTTACCGACGTTACGACGATCTACAGAATCGTAACTGCTCTTCAATTTTCCTATTCTACTGTTAGGATCGGACTTTAACTTCTCTTTTTCAATCGTTACTATGTAAACCTGGAAAAATAATTGTACGCCTGTTGATATCATTCACCCAATCGTTCGTTCTTCCATTCATTCATTCATTCATTCATTCATTCATTCATTCATTCATTCAATCAATCAATCAGTAAAATAATCAATCGGTGAATCAGCCATCAGCATGCAGTCACTCATTCATTTATTCATTCATCCATCAATCCATCCACTAACTTACTAACTTCAGCCCAGGACTTGAGGACAGAAAGTTTCTCCATAGTCAGAGAACTTTCACTATAGAGCAAGCAAGAATCTTTCGTCGTGTCCAGCTTTGTAAGTGAAGACACTAACAGCTGATGAACTCTTCTAAGGTCATTGAGGTCATGAGCCACGCCACTTCCAATCCACGTACTGCATACCTGTCGTCCGGTGATATGTAGTAGAAGTAGCAGCAGCAGCAGCAATTTGTAGTAGACTATTAGTAGTAGCGGCAATAGAACTAGTAGTTAATAGTAGTAGTTAGTAATTGTAGTTCGTGACAGTAGTACAAATAGTTAGTAGTAGTTTTGACTAAAAGAAGTACTAGCAGTAGTAATAGTAGTAGCAGTAGTAGTAGTATTAGTGTAGTAGTAGTAGTAGCAGTAGTTAAGTAATAAATAAACTGAAAATTTGTTATTACCTTTAACATAAATTAAAATTCTTTAAAACTGCTAACATAGAGTTATAATACAACATTACTACAGCCATTATTACTACCGAAACAATAAACAAACAGAATATAATAATAATTATAAATAAATATTACAATAATAATAATAAAAATAATTATTTGTATGACGTACCTCGCATGCGCCAGCCGTAACGTCGGGAGCAGTTTCTGGAGTGAAGGCAGGTCTCAAAGCAGCTCCAACCTTTCGAATTAATTATCATAATTTATTCACGGTGGTTTTGTCAGTTCTTTGATTGGTTAATTAAATACGTAAGCTGTACTAATCTATACGCGAAAATGTGTTAATTCCGTATAAGTATAGATCAATTAGCATAATCTATTCACGATAATTAGGTAATTTTTCGGATTGGTCGATTAAATTAATCAGTACTAACATAGAAATTCTTGGAATACTTTCTTACAGTTATTAGTACATAATTATATTATTCTTACAATATTCCATAAATTCTACAGAATGTTTGGCGTTAATATGTTTTGTAGTTCGTTTTTTCGATTTTTCTCACTAAAGTTTTTTGGAGAACGTTTAGTTTATTAAAATTCAAAATAAACTTATTCTCCGAATTCAATCATTAATTTCCAAAAAAAATTATATTATTTTACACTTGTACAATTGAAAAGTTTGAAAAACTTGGAAATAAATCTGCAGACTGACCTGCGCTTGATATTGTTCCAGGATAACGTGCCCTGGGAACTCAGGTTCGGGGATTTTGCTGAACTTGCATATGATTTCCTAAAGTTTGGTGAATAATTATTATTATTAACCACCTTTATAAATGATAACATCACCATTATAAACGATAACATCATCATTGTAAATGATAACATCATCATTATTTCTCGTCAGCAAGATGTTTGTCACTATGACATCTTCCTTATCATCAGCCACACAATCATTGCAATGTCAGCAGCAGCAGTAGCAGCGACAGCAGCGTCAATATAAGCCATCGTCATCGTCGTCACCTGCAAACAAGAGAGGCCGGCCAATCTCAACTTATCACTATCAGATGTCGCGGCAATGAAAGCCATCCTGACGAGTTCAGAGAGATGCAGTACCAGGTAATCACCTCGAAAAAAAGTTATATTCCACCAGTATATACAGGATAAGTATTAACATCAGTATATAAATTTATAGAACCCAACTCAACTTACTTAAACGTTTCATGTTAAACGTTTAAAAAATATATATTAGTTGTTGTTGTAATGACCTTTACTGCTACTACTACTACTACTACTACTACTACTACTACTACTACTACTACTACTACTAATAATAATAATAATAATAATAATAATAATAATAATAACGCCATTGACCTTCAAAGACTAACCTTGCCCTTTCATGACGAGTGACTTGGCTTCTTTCAAATTGAAATGAGCCTCGACATCTTCACAGGCATTCACTATCTTCATGAGGCATTCAATGGCGAATACTTTCGTCTGCCATTTAGAACTTACCTGGTAAGTGAAGATGACGACGATGAAGATGACGATGAAAACTATGATCCGCAAAAAAAACTAAATTAGGAAAGTACTTTAACAGAGACATAATATTGACCAGAAGACAGCGAGAATAAAAACCTGATGTCTCTTAGACGTGTCAGGATTAACGCTCTGAATATTAACATCTTCGTCTTCATCCTCATCTTCATCATCATCTCTATTTTTGCCGGAAGCTGAGAGAGCGGAAGCGGCCGCTGATGATGACGTCACGGCTGATGATGCGTTGCTGCCGTCACCGGCCGTAGCTGTCGTTGCCGTCGTTGCTACAGAAGTAGGATTCGAAGAATCTAGAAGTTGGTCATGTGTGACAACGACAATAATACAAAACCGTTTATTGTTAATAGAAATTTTGAACATTCTAATCATCCAGACATTGAATTACAAGCAACATTAGGCTGCCTCAACAAATTTTAAATCATACCGTCGACTCTTTATAAGCAATTCCATGCAATCCATGTCAACGCCATTGTGTAGCGTATATATTATCAACAAAACAGTATTCTTATCTAGTCCTAGGCAGTGCGTCTTATGTAATGTATAGTTTGACACATTTTTTGAATGTTGCACATATGTTGGAAGCATTGTTGCAGGCGTAGTAAGTTGGAAGATAATTGAGTTGCCGAAAAAACAAATAAGACAACTACCTTTACAGGCCTAAAACTTGCTTAGTGGTGAAACGCCTTTCAAATATTTTACAGTTACGAATGACGATATTTCAGATATAAAAATATTTATGCTGTACAAATGAACTTCTTTTTATAAGTTGACTTTTTTAAATAAATATGCCTCCGTAAGCGTTTCTATGCAGGATCAAATAAAGACACAACAACAGCAACAAACGCCAAACAAGGTCAAAAGCAATAACTGAACCAGTCGCAGACGACTGAAGGACATCCTTGACCAGTCCGAGCCATCCAGCCAGGTTGTCGCTTACTAGCGTCTGCAACAGACTGATGACAACATCCTTCGCATCCGACTTGAGCTTCTCATCATGATCCCTATCCATGAGAGAGAAGAGAGCCGCCTCCAGACCAACTTCAGCCACATCCAGAGCGTGAGTGTGGTCGTGGGAGGAGATGGGGGAAGGTGCGAAAACTTTGTTAGCTCTCGATCTAATTTGAAAAATCATGAATAAATTCAGATAAATGTACAAATCCCAATCGAAACTAAATTGATTAAATCTTCAAGTCCTAATTAACTGGATGACAAAGTTATAAAATAATGTATAAATGATATGATTCAGTACAAGCAAGCCAATAAAAACGGCCTTAATCACAAAAGACAACCGACCTAGAGGCTAACTGAGTTCTGGCACCGGGGTTGTTAGTATTAGACTCCGCCCTCATTTGATTGGCATGTTCCGACACCTCCCTCGCTTCTCTCTGAACCAACTGGCGCAAGCAAGATACAACAGCACGCCTTAAAACTAGGTGCTTGCTAGACAAGGTCTCCTGATGACGATGACGACGATGAAGAAGAAGATGATGATTATCTTAAAACTTATTAACTATTTTGAAAGATTAATTCATCAGAAAATTAATTAATTAAATATCAAACAAAGGAGAGCCAGTACTAACACAGAGGTGAGGGACAAGGGTCGTTAGGTTGACGTGCCTAGAAGCAAAAAGATGTAGCTGCTGCAAACAGGAAATAGCTTCTGATTGGACGATGGAATCCGAGTGGTCCTGCATGATTGCACAGCAGACCAAGCAGTAAAGACGAGCTGTTGCTATTGGGCCACTCACATTACCTGTGTTCGTGTGTGTTTTTGTGGGTGTGCGTGTTTGTTTGTTTGTGTGT